ACGGTGCAGCACGGAGGTGCCAAGCAGGTTACTTTAGATGATGATGGAGTTTTGAGATTTCAGGGTCGAATTTGTGTGCCTAATGTGGATGGGCTCCGAGAGTTGATTTTAGAGGAGGCCCATAGATCCCGGTGCTCTATTCATCTGGGCATCGCGAAGATGTATCAGGATTTGCAGCAGCATTACTGGTGGAGAAGAATGAAGAAGGACGTTGTTGCATATGAGGCTCGGTGTTTGAACTGTCGGTAGGTTAAGTACGAGCATCAGAGGCCCGGTGGTTTGTTCTAAAAGATTGAGATTCCTTGAGTGGAAGTGGGAGCATATAACTATGGACTTCGTTGTTGGGCTCCCACGGACTCAGAGGAAGTTCGACGCAGTGTGGGTTATTGTTGATAGGCTGACCAAGTCAGCCCATTTCATTCATGTGGCAGTCTCCTACTTTTCCGAGAGGTTAGCTGAGATCTATATCCGGGAGATAGTTCGCCTTCATGGTATGCCCGAGTCTATCATTTCGGACTGAGGTACGCAGTTTACCTCCCATTTCTAGAGAGCAGTTCAGCGAGAGTTGGGCACACGGGTTGAGTTGAGCACGGCATTTCATCCTCAGATAGACGGGCAGTCTGAGCGGACTATTCAGATTTTGGAGGATATGATCCGAGCTTGTGTCATTGACATTGGAGGCTCGTGGGATCAGTTTTTGCAATTAGAAGAGTTTTCCTACAATAAAAGCTACCAGTCGAGTATCCTATGGCTCCTTATGAGGCTTTGTATGGTAGGCAGTGTAGGTCGCCAGTTGGATAGTTTGAGCTGGGAGAAGCTCGGTTGTTGGGTACGGATCTGGTTCAGGATGTCTTAGACAAGGTCAGGATTATTCAGGATAGGCTTCGTACAGCTCAGTCCGGGAAAAAGAGTTATGCCGACCGTAAATTTTGAGATTTGGCATTCATGGTCGGTGAGCAGGTATCGCTTGGGGTGTCGCCTAGGGCGTGATGATATTTGGGAAAAAGGGCAAGCTTAGACTAGGTTTATTGGCCCGTTTGAGATTCTTGATCGAGTGGGAGAGGTGGATTACAGACTTGCGTTACCGCCGAGCTTATCAGTCGTGCATCCAGTGTTTCATGTGTCCATGCTTCGGAAATATCACGGCGATCCATCTCACATGTTAGATTTCAGCACTGTCCAGTTGGACAAGGACTTGTCTTATGAGGAGGAGCCGGTAGCTATTCCAGACTGGCAGGTTCGTCAGTTGAGATCGAAGAGTTTCCCTTCTGTTCATGTTCAGTGGAGAGGTCATCCCGCTGAGGCATCGACCTGGGAGTCCGAGTCCGATATGCGGAGCCGTTATCCCCATCTTTTCCCCGACTCAGGTACTTCCTTCTTCTGTCCGTTCGAGGACGAATGGTAGTTTTAGAGGTGGGGGATATGATGACCCAAAAAGTCATCACTTGTTTTAAAAATGAATTCTGCATAACGAGGCCTTTAAAACCTCTTTCGGCATCACCTCGATTTGTGTGCGCAATTCGGGCGCGTAGCTGAAAAGCTATTTTGTGAAAAATGATGAATTTTGCATTTAAAATGAGTTTAAGTTGACTTCGATCAATATTTTTGGTAAACGGACCCGAACCCGTGATTGGACGGTCCTGGAGGGTCCGTAGGAAAATATGGGACTTGGGTGTATGCCCGGAATCGAATTCCGAGGTCCTAAGCCCGAGAAATGAATTTTTAAAGAAAATTATTTTCTGAAATTGTTCGTGAGTTTTGGAAATGAATTGTGATTAAAACTTGTTGGTATCGGACCCGTATTTTGGTTCTGGCGCCCTGTACATGTCTTATATATGGTTTAAGATAAGTTTGTGAAATTTGGTAAGAAATGGACTTGAAACAACGTGAATCGGATCGTTTTTGATAAAAATTGAAAATTTGAAGTTCTTAAGAAAATTTCATGATTTTGATACTAATTTCATAGTTGTTGATGTTACTTTAGTGATTTGAATGCACGAGCGAGTCTGTATGATATTTTTAGGTTTGTGTGCATGTTTGATTTGGAGCCCCGAGGGCTCGGGTGAGTTTTGAATAGGCCACGGGGTGAATTTTTGGACTTAAGGAATTGCAGGCTTCAGCTATTTCTGTGCAGGCCTGCAGGCTTCGCATTTGCTAAGCCTGGCTCGCAAATGTGATATCGCAAAGGCGAGGGTTATGTTGCAATTGTGAAAGTAGCCCAGGCCAGCCTATCTCGCAATTGCGAGGATTTTGATCGCAAATGCGATCCCCCAGCTTGTGGCCAGTCGTCGCAAATGCGACATGTGGATCGCAATTCCCAGCCCCCAAATGCGAGCCCTTTTTCGCAAATGCGAGCATAGCAGAGGTCAGGGTTCGCAATTGCGAACCCTGGTCGCAATTCCCATATCTACAACCTGCAATTTTTATACTTAACCGAAAAACTCTCATTTTTCACACTCTTTCAAGACCAAAACACTCTTGGGCGATTTTTCAAAGACAACTCTTCTTCCAAATCGATTGTAAGCCAATTTTAACTCGTTTTCTTCAATCATTAACATCTTTTAACATGATTTCAACTCAAAATCAATGATTTTCATGGGGGGAATTGGGTGTTTTGGGTAGAACCTAGGTTTTCCAAAAATTGGGGATTTGGACCTCAATTTGAGGTCCGATTTCAAAACAAATTATATATTTGAGTTCGTGGGGGAATGGGTAATCGTGTTTTGGTTTGAACCTCGAGTTTTGACCATGTGGGCCCGGGGACAATTTTTGACTTTTTGGGTAAAACTTTGAAAAACTCATTTTCATGCATTGGAGTTGATTCATTTAGCGTTTATTGATGTAATTAAGTAACTTATGGCTAGATATGAGCGAATTGGTGGTGGAATCAAGGGGTAAAGCACGAAGGGTAATACCGTATATGATTTATGAGGAAAGAGTGTAAACCACGAAGGGTGATGTCGTGCCGCATGATGTACCATTCTGTGCCTATTATATTGATTTTATGGTGAGGATGAGAGTAAAAGCACGGAGGGTGATGCCGTGCAGTTTATGTTGATTCTTATGGTGAGGACGAGAGTAAAAGCACGAAGGGTGATGCCGTGCAATTGTCCTTGATTTTCCTGATTCTTGCTGATAATTGAGTTATGTTGTCCTTTGCGTTTACTTACTGATTTTCTGTTGTTACTTGATTTTATTTCGATGTTATAGATTCCCTTACCCTATTTTCCTTGTGATTTATTGCTTGGGTGAGGAAGAGTGTAAAGCACGAAGGGTAATGTCGTGTATTGTTTTGGTGAGAGAGTGTAAAAGCATGAAGGGTGATGTCATACACTTGTCTTTGATTTCCTGATTTTTATTGATAATTGAGTTACGGTTTCTCTACATTTAATTGTTGGTTTCCTGTTGATATTGTTGTACCCCGCAGCATGTTTTCCCCTTCCTGTTTTCAATTGAACTGTGGTGATCCTCATATTTATTTGTGGTTCTTCTATTATTATTCGATGTTTCCCTACAACATGTTTTCCCCTCCCATACTTGACTGTATATTACTGTTCTTCTTTTCCACTGTATACAGTTAAACTGCACAGGTTTATTTGGTAGTCTGGCCCTAGCCTCGTCACTACTTCGTTGAGGTTAGGCTAGGCACTTACCAGCACATGGGGTCGATTGTGCTGATACTACACTCTGCACTCTTTTGTGCAGACCCGAGTGTTATAGCTTTTGGACCCTAGATTGGGAGGCTATCTTGAGTCCACGCGGAGATCCAAGGTAGACCTGCAGGCGTCCGCAGGCCATGGCGTCTCCCTCTATCTCTTTATCCCTTTTCATTTACTTCATTCAGAAACAGTATATCGTTTATTTTTCGGACCTTGTATGTAGTAAATCTTAGATCGTCTGTGACACCAGTTCTGGGTGGTTAAGGCTTAAACAGTTGTATCAGTTACATGTTCAGATATTTTATTGTTTTTCTTCCGCTTATTTTAAAATTTCCGTTGTTTATACGTTATTGCTTTATAACTGTTAAAGAGTATAAAGAGGGTAAAAAGGTTACTTGTTCAATAATTGGCTTGCCTAACTCATACTAGTAGGCTCCATCACGACTCCCGATGGTGGAAAATCCGGGTCGTGACAGGGATATACTTAATCGCCTTGCTTGGTTACTATACTGGAATTATTAATGCGCTCTTGTTAATCCTAATTCGGCGTTAGGTTAGCTTGAATAGGTAAGTAGTACTTCAGGAGAATGATACGAGTAATATTAACCCTGTCAATCAATAAACCAGATAATTTAATTAGACAATTTAAGTGGAAGACTCAACGGGATTGTTAGATAACCCATAGCTCTGGAATATTTTCTCCCACTGAATTCGTCTTTATGATTACCGACCTATTTCCTTTAATTTCTTAGTTTTGTAACTAGATTAGTCGTACTTAATAATCTTTAGAAAATCACTAGAACAGATTAATTGTTAATTTGAGTTTAATTTAGTTGACAGTTAATCATAAGTCCTCGTGGGAACGATACTCTACTTCTCACTTTATTACTTGTCGATTACGTATACTTGCTTGTATATTACGAAGTAACATATATTATCGAATATTGCCAACCAATTATTACATAAAATATGCAATAAGAAAACCAAACGCTATATTAGTTATACGGAGAATATTTTTCTTTAATCCTCCAATCAATTAGTGTATTATTTTGGCGCAAGCTTTATGCTGGAATTATTTTTTTCTAATACATCCAAACCAAACGACCTTTGAAAGATGGATTTCCTATTTTTTAAACCAACTTTGCCTAAAAGATAGGGAATCTTTCTTCTTTCAAATGTTAGTTAGGAACTCGAAAGAAAGCAGGATTTTCACTTAAGCACCATTTTCTCATCTATTTCTGTTTTGCCAGGAAAGGCAGCATCAACATACAGGTACATATATTTCTGCTTTATTTAAGAAGCCTTTTTCTTTTCCTCTTAGTAGCAGACTAAAGAGAACAGTAATATATGCTGTAAAAATTTATTGGAATATTAAAATATTTAAAACAATAACTGTCTTCTCCTCTTCAAAATAAACAACTGGAAAATTTAACATAACTTTGGTTACAAGTGAGCAAATGTAGAACAATCTGTAGAATTGGGACAGTTCATTGACACATGATTTTGGGAAAAGTAGCTTCTATTTACTATCAAGCATTCAAGGTTTTCTAACCCTCTGATAGTAGTTTTTGACTTTCCTTACATCCAGCAATCGGAACTTTGTGTTGCTCTTTAGTGTTCTCTCGTACTTACAACCTCCCACCAGCACAAGATACCGGATAACTTTATCCATCAAGACAGTACCTGTAACTTGGCCCACCAACGATCGGAGGAAATCATCTAACATTCTTTGTCTCTACTATGATTTGGACTCATGCTATCCACCTTGGCGACGCTTTTCTTTGCAGATTCCCATTCATCAAATATGAATTATGCCAGTTATCTGCAAAATAGGAGGAGGAAAGATAAAAAGAACTAATATCAGCTAATATATATATATATATATACACAAGCAGCAGAAAATAATTCAAGATCAACCAAACTGACAAAATACACAGTTCATATATATCCCGAGAAGAGATTGGAAAATTATGAAATGGAAGTTGCTTAAAAAGAATCCATAGGTACTGCAACAACTCCAACTATTATTTACTACATTAAGAGTTCTAAATAGTACTATGTCTTTGAGAAAGTTAAGTAACACGTGTACAGATAAAAACTGAAAGGTTTTACTACTACCTCTTTCCTAGTTAAATCTGAAACGAGGTTCTCGTAACATTCACCAAAACACTTCGGCCACCATTGTTCAATGGATCTTATAAGCAACATGACATGCATAAAATATCCATACCAACTAATACTGAAAGACCACAGTATCTAGCAACTACTCGGAAGGGTAGAAAGGTCTTGCGGCATGATGCAGAAACATATTTTGAATTCTTAGATGCGTAAGCCTACGATAAGAAGAATCCTAGCATCTATAGTTAAAGCATATACCATTAGTATTTATAGCCCAAACTGAATAGTTGGCATTTCATATTTTAGAAGCAAGTAAGGGTTGATCGATAAAAGTAAGTCAACTAACTCAAAAAGCACTATGCTGTGAGATAAATTGAGCTGGAAAATAAGCTAAGTACTACATAAGGGCTTAAATTTGTCAAAATGCAAATATGAGATGATCAGGAAGCAAATTTGCTGGCTTGGAGCCAGTATTGACAAAACAAAATGTGAATTTTTCAATGGGAAATTCAAGAATTTAAGGTGAAAGCGGGAGTAGGGGAGAAGCTTAAGGGAGAGTTCCAGAATAACAATTCTCTAAACAAACTAATCAGAGACATAAAACGACTTCACCTATGGGATAAAGAAAAAAAGATGAAACACTTTAAGGTGTATATATAAAACAAGAACTTACTCACCAGGAAAATATCTGGCCTTTGCTTCAACCAACCTGAACATGAATGCCATTTATTGCAGTTCCCCAGGATTGAAACTTGTGCCGTTGGCCATGAAGATTTTGTAGAAGCTTTAGAGAAATCCTTCAGCCATCAATCGAAGAAATATAAAGTCGGATTCTATCGTCAAGTTACAAACTTCAAGAATTCAGGTCAGATTATAGCCAACACAAGGTGGGGAGGATCCCCCCAGATAATCTCACCAGCAATCCCTCTTGTTAGGGTCTAGTGTCAATACAAGGAAACCAATTGGAAAGGTCAACTATAATTTAGAATCAGAAATTTCAAGTTAATCTATATAATTAGCTTGCGAAACTACCGGAACAAGAATTAAAGCCGCATTATTTCAGGATATTCTTGACTATTTGCGTTTGGAATATCTACTAGTATTTCCCTGTATGCTACCTGAGTAATTACTAGAGTTTCCCTCCCCAGAATCCAAGTCATCACTACTTGATTCGTCAGTATCCTCGAATTCAAATTCGCTTAAAGACTGGTTGTCATCAGAACAATTATCATCAATTTCTGACAACTCGAGATCCGAGGGGTTAGATTCACTGGCTGAATAGTTCTCCTCTCCTATTTCAGCATTTCGTTTTTCTCTTGCACTTCTTGAATCATCAAGGATGGAGTAAGCACTCCGATTATTTGGGTCACCGTATAGAGCAACATGTCTATAGTAGAGTTCAAGTTCCTTCTCAGCTATGGCAATGAAACGTCTCACGGACTCAAGTGATTGCTCATACTTGGACTTTTCCAACGCCTGAAGAAAGAGAATTGACCAATTATTCTTACCATGCTTGATATTAAAAAAGATAAAACAAAGATATAGGTAAATAAGTCAGAGTCAAACAGTATTAAGAGTCAAAATCTTATATCTTAAGTACAGTTATCTGATTCCCAATGAAGGTGGCATTGAACATGTGAAGAACAGAGTATGGGACTAATAAATTTCTGTTAGAAACACTTTAAAAAAAAAAGTTTTGTGAGCAGACAGTGATGGCAAAAAACGTAAGTATCGAAAGGCCCATTTGCATAATAAGATAGTTCACTATGTTTTGGTGAATATAAAGTAACAGATAATTTTGTTATAACTTCAAGTTCAATAAAAGACATTTTTGGTATACATCTCTGAGAGAAAGAGATGATGCAAAGCTCACCATGTTTAATTTCAATTTCAAACTAAACAATCACCAATTGAAAAACATTGTGCAACCAAATCTCCCAGTTCCAGTTATCGCTAAACAAATTGCAACTATGAGCCAAGTCAACAATAAGCTGTCTTACCTGGACTCAGCCACGGGTATGTATACGATATCCATATGTATTACGGGTACGTGCGGTTTCTGCTAATTTTTAGAGAAAATTGAAGAATCCGCAGAAGTACCCACACCCATGTCATACCTATTTGGCATAGGTACATCAAGAAAAATGATGAATCCACACGAAATAGACTCTAAGTAAAAAGTCAATCGAAGGAGAACAACGGTGAAAGCTGGTGGGACTGATTAGAGGTTCATAATAAAAGGGCAATGCACAATGAGACTTGAGAAAGTAACCTTGTGCATAAGTACAGGATGTGAAGCAATTAAATGGAGTAATTGTAAAAAATCAGCTCAAACAAACTTACCCTCTTCTTAGACAGTGTATCAATAGGAGACATAATTTCGGGCTGCACATAATCCCTTCCTCTGTAAAAAACTATTGTATCATCCCCAATTATCTGAATTGGGACGCCACCACTCAGTCTTGCAATTTCATCGGCATATTCTTGGATTTCACCAGGTTTGCAGGAATTGCATATGACTTTGACAGTTTCATGCTTTTTCCAATGTAGATGCATATTGAGAATAACACCTCCAAAGACTCCCCTTCTGCCAATTGGCACATAATTGGACCTTTTCTGTGCCATCTTTTTGATATAGAACCGTTCCTCACCAGTGAGAAAATGTGGCTTAACCTCAGGACCTTGAACTTTGGGAACCTCGTATCGCTTTAATCTCTCGATTAGCATGGCTTCTTTGACTTTTGCCTGACCAAGACAAAACATATCAGCTTTTGTTTAAATCGAAAACTACATTTGTTTTTGAATCGCAGTCAAATGGAAAATGGAAATAAAACAAATCTTAGCTTCTACAAACACAGATATACGGTGAGCACATCAAATTCTTCACATCCCCAAACCCAGAAAAAGGTAAGATAGCCACAAAACCTTTAACTAAGAAATGTAATACATGCCTCAGTGAGGCAGCAACCAAGCATACAAGCACTTGGTGTAACTTGGTTTCAGTGGATCTTCTTTACAATTAGAAAGTGAACAGGCTCCTATCTTTCTCCAATCTCCAGCGAAATAACTTTACTAAATAAGAATTCCCAGACTGAAATAATAGCCAAAAGAGATCTTCTTTACAATTACTAGTACGATTAAGCTACCAACAAAACAGCCAAGAAGAGAAGCAAAAAGAAAAAAGTGGGTTCAATAATGCTTCTCCAGTCTCAATCTAATTTCCGAGTACCAAATGAGAAGATGTAATATAAAAATCATTCAAGAAATTTAATAAACACAAAACACATGAATAAGTTTTTTTTTTATTTTCGACCAGGTTCCTTCCTTCCAACTTCCCCTTCTAATTTCTTTTCTTGCCAACCAAATTGAAGAAAAGGTTACAACTCATTCCAAGATTCATATTAGATCATAACGCTACCCAAGTTCTTCAATGCAGTTCATTCTATATGCTATTGCGGATTATTAAGCCAATACCCTCTTCGTTTCAGTTTATGTGACACTATTTCTCTTTTAGCCCGTTTCAAAAAGAATGACCTCTTTCTAAATTTGAAAACAATTTTGCTTAAATTTTCCATTTACCCTTAATGAAAAGTTTTTATAGCCACACAAACGTTATGGCATGTCTAAGACTACAAGTTTCAAATGTCTTATAGTATTACACAAATGTTTTATCATGTTTAAGACCACAAATTTAAAAGCCTTCGTTTTATTTTTACTCTCTTCCTAGTCAAATAGGTTCACATAAATTATAATAGGTGGGAGCATAAAGATACAATCATATGGGTCCAAATGGAGTGAAATGGTTATTCGTTTGGGATTGAGACATAATTGTATTACTCCCTCCGATCCACTTAGTTTGGCACTATTTTCTTATTAATTCGTTCAAATAAATGACACATTTATATATTTCCTTAATGAGGATCATTTATAGCCACACAAATGTTACGTCATGTTTTAGATTACAAATTTTAACGCAATGATTTCCTACTTAAACTTTGTGCCAAGCGACAAACAAAGTGGAACGAAGAGAGTAGTAGTGATAATAATCAATCAGTGGCTCCTAAAAGTTAAAAAAGAAAAAATCTTTAGCTCACATTGTCAATCTTCTGCTTAATTCTTTCTTCAGGAGTATCAAACTTTTGCTTCTTTTTCTTCCCCTTAACACCAAGCCTTCTTGGATCTCTTTTATTTGCAGCTTTTCTCTTCTTCTTATCCCTCTTCCTTTGCAGCTTTAGCCTCTTCTTTGTCTTCCATTTCTCCTTCTTTGGTGCCTCCACTTCATGTGTCTCAAACTTGGGCTTTCCATCTTTTGTTATCACAAAGTTAACACTCCCATGGCTAAAGCTTCTAAATTTCCAAAATGGGTTTTTTGGGGTTAAGTTATTTTGAGTCACTAACCTTGATAAGTAAAAAAAGCTTTCTGGGGTCCCAAGATTTGGCCTAAATATGGAGAAAATAATGAGAAACAATAAAAAGATGAGAATTTTAAAGAAAGGTTTTAGCTTTACCTGTAAGAAGCAGACGGCAGTGGCTTTTTGAGAAGTGAAAGAAAGGGAAGTCGCCGAAAGCCTCGAAGCATAGGATTTGCCATACGACGTCGTATATCGCCGTACCAGGGGACTGCCGGCAAGCTACTTCACGGCAGCGGGAATACAGAATAAAAGGAAAATTACTGCGGAGACATAACTTCTCAAAAAAATATACGGGTTGGATGTGGTGATAATTTTTTTGGAAATAATAAAAAGATTTTCAAAATTCTTGTTTTATTAAATATACTTTAAAAAGATTTCGTAAGTTCTATCATATTTTTTATAAAACTTACTTCCACTAGTTTATCAATAGTATTAGTACCCATGCAGATGCGCGGACACTGACCATAACAAATTATGATCAAAGTTATTTGATTATGTGTAAATAATTTTAAAATTTAAATCTTCTAGATAAATATAGATAAAGAAATTAATAAAGAAACAGTACACACAAAAAAGACTTATCATTTTTTTCATATTTTTCTTTTGGCTTTATCGAATTAACCTAAATAGGTACTCACCCAATTGCTTAAACTTTAAAAAAAGAAATAAAAAGAAAAAACTTCATGAATCCAATGACTCAAAATTAATATTCTTCAACGAAAACAAATTATATTCTTTAACAATGAATATGATCCTAATATCATTTATACCGTATCATTATGGTAAATCTCAAGAAGTTCCATCATCTGAGCTAGATAACTTTCTTAACTTTAAAAGATTTATAGTTTTCAATTCAAACTTATAGCTAAAATTTAGATGATATTCTTTTTAATTTTAAATATTTATTTTTGACTTTAAATTGAATACTATTACAACTCATAGTAACCATATCTTCAAATTATATTCTTTAACAATATATATGATTCAAATATTATTTATATTGTATCATTATAATATATTTTAATATTATTATAATAATTACCTCCATTAGTTTATCATATTTGATGTTTATATTAAATTGTACTATTATTAGTTTATTCTAATTAGGTGATATAACGAAAGAAAAATTATATTAATTCATTATTGTCACACCTCCTTTTTCCCGAAAGGATAGGAGAGTTTTTCCAATTTAAGTGATATTATTCGAAATGGGATTATTTTATTTATTCAGAGTCGCCACTTGGAATAATTATTAGTGTCCCAAGTCACCGATTTATTTTAAATCCCAAATCGAGGAAAATTGACTCTATGTTTGGTCCGCAAATACAGAAGACCGGGTAAGGAATTTTGTTAGCCCGGGAGAAGGTGTTAGGCATTCCCGGGTTCCATGGTTTTAGCACGGTCGCTCAACCATTAATAATTGGCCTCATTATCTGATTAATTACATATTTAGAACCCATTGTGCATTTTTAACTTCTAACCGCTTTTAATATTTATGGAATTATTTCTGGAACAAGTCACGATACAGAAGGGGATTTCAGCTGGTCAACAGATGTTACCTTTGCAGGAGACATCAGGAAACAGTTAATCACCTACTTCTACACTGCCCAGTAGCCATAGACCTATGGAACATGTTCTTTTGTATTTTTGGTCTAAGCTGGGTAATGCCATAGACCCCGAGAGAGGCACATATGAGCTGGAGTCTTTGGGAGGTTGATAAGGTCATCAAGAAGATCTGGCTTATGATTCCTGCAACTATTTATTGGTGTTTATGGAACGAGAGGAATAGAAGATGCTTTGATGACACCTCAACCCCGAACCACTTACTCAAATCTAAATGCCTACTCAACCTTTTTTGCTGGACAAAGTTGTCCCCTGTAAATAGTACAGGACACCTTTTGGACTTTATTAGCTCTCTGTCCTAGATTGAGACTTTGTTTTGGGGCAAACAATGTTCTCCAGTAATTTTTTGTTTATTTAGCTCCTATGCCTCTTGTAATTGCATCTTCTTGATGCCTTCTTAATGAAACATATTGCTTCATCAAAAAAAAAAGGCCACGATTGTCGTACACTTGTCGTTTTGGTACACATTGCAAACCGCGTCACATGAAATGCACCCGCGATTTACAACATGTTCATTTTTATTATTGTTCGAAGTTATGATCGGGTCACATGAAATGCACACCCGAATTGGGGATTAGGCATCACGACCATGCCACGGGAACCGTACTCATAGCCGTGATGAGTTATTATTAATCGCGCCTAAAGCAAGCTACGATGTTCATGACTTATTCTTTCTAAGACTACTTTGAGATTATTGCAAGGCCATGAATTATGAAAATTATTTTTGTGGGTCGAAAGGGATGCGGCATGTGATGTCATTGGGCTTGCTTTCATCTAAGGCCCAACTCTAGTTTCAATCTTTCTCTCGTGATAGTTACAGAATCTCAAATATGGAAATAATCTTTAGAAGGAAAACTAAAAGGAGACTTACTCAATGGTATCCAATTAACCTGACACAACATCTAGTATTTGATAAATATATAATGGTCCCACTTGATTAATATAAAGCCACCATTTCCATTCAACTTTATTTACCCAAATTTGATAATACAGAACTCAACAGGGCAGATTCTTCAAATAGAAAAACAAATTCATGTAACAAGATATGAACCATTGAACCACTGATTTGAAGGAAACAGTGACGAGTCTTTCCTCTAACGAGTATTAGAGGATCAGTTTATCTAATCTTCAACCCAAATACATCTGTTTGAAGCTACTTGCCTAAAGAATACTTGTTTGAATTTCAAAAGCTGCAATTCAACTACAAATCCAATACACTTATTTCAATCAAACACATAATAGAAAGCTACTTCATGTCACGTGAATTGAGATTTGAAGGACAGATTTTACATGCTTATAGGACATATAATCATGACATCATTTTCAACTTCATACGAAATAACAAACAATTATAACCATTCAAATCTGACTAACAAACAACTTCACACAATTGATTCAAATCTGACTTAACACTAAGAGAAAGCAGATCCCAGCCATTCTGTCATAGACGAACCAATACTGTCCAATTCATCAAAATCATAAAAAATATAGAAGAAGTAGGGAATGAACATGAGCCGATTTCAATTGTTTCAACAAGAAGAAGGTGTAGTTTACAGGTAAGTACCTACAGCTTCGAAAATGGAGCTTGAAACAAGCCAACAATGCAGAACAAACTGAGGAACGACACCCAGCAATCTAGGAAGCAGCCCGGTCCAGCAGAAACAACAGCAATTTCCTTAAAGACCCAGATTTCGGAAGCTCTTTTCCTTTTCAGATTTTCCTTTTTGTTTTGTTGAAATTTTGAATTCTAAAAGCTTCTTCATGTGCTTGTGTATATGTGTTTCGGAAGGAGTCACTTAATGGGTATAAGTGTTCTTCAGAATTCTTAGAAACTGGGGGTGCAGCTAGATTTCTTTTGAGAGGGGGTCCGATTTAGGTCTTTTGTGAAGAGGGAAGGTCTTGTGGAGAAGATGAAGATGGAGGAGAATTAGGGCTTTTTGTTGGGAGGGGTCTGATTCTCGTTCATCTCTGGTGAAGTGAGAAGAATGGAGAAGGAGAGAGAAGGGTGCGCGGCGTTGTTGATTTTTTGAGTGGGGGTGTCCTCTTGTTGTGATTAGGCCCGAAGGAATTGAAGGGGGATAGAGGGAGTTGGGCCGATCAGGTATGGGCTTGATTTAGGGATTTGCGTCTATACCCGTTTTATGGGTCACGTTTTAAATTGTGTCCGTTTTATAAAAAAAAATTACAAGTGTACTCATTTTTTCGCGTAACTTCAGCATACGTGACTGAAGTAGCAAAGGCAATCACTCAAAACTTCAGCATTCTAGTAGACGGGCCTGAAGTAGTAAGTGTGCTGAACCAAATGTGCTGAAGTTTTTGTTTGTAATTGCTAAACTTAAGCATAGTAGCTAAAGTTTTGTTCTCTATTTGTTGAAATTTTTGTTTGTAATTGCTAAACTTAAGCATAGTAGCTAAAGTTTTGTTCTCTATTTGTTGAAATTTTTGTTTGTAATTGCACTAAATAAGTTCAAATTTTTTTGTCCTGGATTCATTAGTTTTGTCATTAAGCTTTTTCAAAAACTTTAGCAAAAAATGTTAAAGTTATTTAGTTCATTTATAAAAACTTCAACACTAAATAAGCTAAAGTTTTTTTTTTTTTTGTCCAGGATAAGCTTTTCAAAAACTTCAGCAGAAGATGCTAAAGTTATTTAGTTCATTTGTAAAAACTTCAGCACTAAATAAGCTGAAATTTTTTGTCCTGATTCATTAATTTTTCTTCAGCAGAAGATATTGAAGTTATTTAGTTCATTTGTAAAAACATCAGCACTATATAAGCTGAAGTTTTTGAAAAGCTTTCTAACATACTAGATAAATAATCAGATTGTCAACATTATCTAAATCATAAATTTTAGAAACAATAAACGTGAAAAGAACAGAATTATCATGAAAAGAATCACTAAGTGTGACCTTAAACTTCCCGTACGTGGAAATATTGATAAATTATTGTCTACTAAATTAAGTAATTATTTATAATTTATTTTTAAATAATTTGATACCTATGAACTGAAGTTTCATAGCAGCACCAACAACAGCAAAAGAAAGAAGAAGAAGAAGAAGAAGAAGAAGAAGAAGAAGAAGAAGAAGAAGATGATGATGATGATGATGATGAAGATGAAGGAGGAGAAAGGGGGCTAAAGTTGTTTAAAAAATGGGTACAAGTTAAAATTTTTTAAAAAAATGGGTATAGGTTAAATTGGAGCGACCAAATAGGGCGCCCCGTGCAATTTTTACCTTGATTTAAAGCAATTGGGTCATTTTAATTTGGCCCAGTCCGGTTTTACTTAGAAAATGGTCATTTTCCTTTCTTTAATCTTTTTTCTCTTTTTGACTTTAAATCATAATTAATTAAAACCTAAATTAAGTCTTAAATTAATCAATTTGCGAAAATTAAAATTATTTATCTATTTCTGTCATTAAAATAAATAATTAACTTAAAACTAAAGAAAAATACTAATTTTAAAGACTAAAACCTAAATATGTAAAAATGACCATTTTTTTGATTTTTGCTTAATAAGCCAATTAACTCAATGTAACTAATTCCTAAATGCAAAAACTTAAAAAGCTTATGTAATGCAACATGTTTTTTTGTGTGTTTTTCTATGATTTTAAGTTATTAAAAATGTATAAAATGCAACTAAATAAAAAAAATTCCTAAAATCCATTAAAATTATTTTTGGTCTATTTTTAGAGGTTATTTCCATGCGAGGCAAAAATTAGGTGCTCACAATTATAGTTTAATGATAAACTAAATGTGCTAAAACATGTCATGTATCTACAACAACAACAACCGTCCAGTATAGTCCCAGTGTGATGCAGCCTTACCCCTACCCTGCTAAGGTTGAGAGACCATTTCTGATAGACTCATGGCTCACGCAAAGTATAATCATATATAGCAGTCTTAAAAAGAAATATAATAGTAAAAAAAATTGTGAAAGAGAAGTAGTATCAACAACAAGATAATAAGATAACATAAGCAAAAGAAATGACATGTAATAATAGAAATGTAAGGGTGAGAAAATATGAGAATAATACTAAAGTTATGGCAAAGAGAAACGTTTGAGTACGTATTAGCCTTCTACCCTAATCCTCGCCCTCCATACCTTCTATCAAGGGTCATGCTCGCTAAGCTGAAGTTATGTCATATTATGCCCGATCACCTCTCCGCAATACTTCTTAGTTGTCCGAACCATTTCAGCCTCGCCTTCTGTATCTTGTCCACCATGGATGCGAGTCCCATTGTCACGACCCGGATTTTCCACTCTCGGGAGTCGTGATGGCGCCTACTAGTGAAAGCTAGGCAAGCCAACCAACTGAACTATTTACCTTGTTTCCATTTTTTAATCCGATAACAGTTAAGAGCCAACAATTAGATAACTACAGAACTGAATAAACGGAAGGCTGCATTGTAAAGTTTTAATAATGCTACTGATACCCATCCATAACAAATCTACCCAAGACTGGTGTCACAACTTCACAGACTGTCTAGGAGTACTACAAATAAAGGTATGAAAGAAATAAATACAACATTGTCTCTGAAAATACATGAAAGAAACAAGAATAGTAGATAAGAGGAGATGCCAAGGCCTGCGGACGACTGTAGGACTACCTTGGGTCGCCTGATTAACAAGAAACAACAATTTCACTGCGGTCCAAAGTCTACAACACTAGGATCTGCACAAAAGAGTGCAGAGTGTAGTATCAGCACAATCGACCTCATGTGCTAGTAAGTGCATGGCCTAACCCCGACGAAGTAGTGACAAGGCTGTGACCAGACTACCAACTAAACATGTGCAGTTACATTACATACAGTAGAAAATAAACAGAAATAAACAATTAAAGATGAGAATGGGACATGTTGCGGGGGAATATCATTTATCAAAAGTAATTCGAGAGAAAAGCATAAAGACAATTTAGAATTCACAACAAAAGAATAAGGAAATCGTAACCAACCAATAAACACTTTTATTATCTACTATTGCGACGCGCAACTCGATCCAAATCATAAAAATACTGTTGCGGCGTGCAACCCGATCCATATCATTTATCACTGTTGCGGCGTGCAACCCGATCCATATCATTTATCACTGTTGCGGCGTGCAACCTGATCTAATTATATTGTTGTTGCAGCGTGCAACCCGATCCAATTATATTGTTGTTGCGGCGTGCAACCCATTCCAATCATAATATTATTGTGGCATGCAACCCGATCCAAATATAATATTATTGCGGCGTGTAACCCGTTCCAAATATAATATTGTTGCGGCGTGCAACTCGATCCCAATATACAATTCAACACCAACCACAAAGGAGCTCCAATAAGGGAACAACAATATCTCGACAAGGGAATCAATAACATCATAATAAAATCAAGTAGCAACAGAAAATCCGTAAATAAACGTAAAGGACAACATAACTCAATTATCAGAAAGATTCAGGAAAATCAAGGACAAGTGCACGACATCACCCTTTGTACTTTAACACTCTCTTACCAAAATAATAATCACAAGAAATAAGGGCAAGGAAATAAATGAAATCACAATAAAATCCCGGCAAGGGAACAACAATACAATAATCGAATCCCGGCGAGTGAACAATATCAAAAATCCTCTTCTCTTTTCCTTTTCACATTTACTTCACAACTTGAGCCAATGCTCTATAAGGTTCAATTGCTAATTATACTTCCACAATTCGTTTTACAACTTGAGCAACAAACAGAGTCACATTAATCATAGTATAAGACTCACGGGCATGCTTGACACCAACGTATAGATACTCGTCACTATGCCTATACATCGTACTCAACAAATAACACATAGAAAATAGGACACAACTCATAATCCCTCAAGCTAAGGTTAGACCAAACACTTACCTCGATGCCACGAACACAATTCAAGCCTCAACTATCGCTTTACCTTTTGATTCCACCACCAACTCGCTCGTATCTAGCCACAAGTCACTTAATCATACTAATAAATGCTTAATGAATCAATTCTAATGCTTGGAAATATGTTTTCTAAAGTTTTTCCCAAAAAGTCAAAAATCGACCTCGAACCCGCTTGGTCCAAACCCGAAATTCAGGCCAAAACCCGATTATCCATTCACCCCGAGCCCGGATATATAATTGGTTTTGGAGTCCGACCTCGATTTGAGGTCTAAATTCCCAAATTTCAATATTCTTAGATTTTACCCAAAATTTCCAATTCCACCCTGAAAATCCTAGATTCTAGGATGAAATCTTGTAAAAAGAAGTTAAGGAGTAAAGAAAATAAGTTAAAAATCACTTACTAATGTTTTGGAGAAGAAAGAATGTTTGAAAAATCGCCTCTTATGTTTTTGGGGTTTTGAAAAAAAAATTACTGAAAATTCCGTTTAAATATACCCCTCTCAGACCCCCTGTGCGGACCGCACAAAAAGGAGTGCGGCCGCGAAGCTCACAAGGTTGACTGCAGTGACATACTTTAATATTTTGGCCATATCTTTCTCTACAGATATCCAAATTGTGATTTTTTTTTATCTTTTTGGAAACTAGATACGAAGGGCTACAATTTTTGTTTTTGAATCATCTCAAAATTCCTTGTAGATCAAAAGATATAGGCTTCCGAAGTTGGACCAGCGAACCTGTGCGGATCGCACAAAATCGAGTGCGGCCGCAAAGCCCCCACCGCGGACAGCACAAATTCAATGCGGACCGCACTGGCGGGTTCAGAGATTTGCACTTCTCTGAACCTGCAACATCCATATTT